CCAGGAAGCCTTTAGATTTGGGATTCCACAGTTCGTGCTAACATGTCCGTCTTATTAAATTAGAACTTTAAGGGTGGCTCTGCCTTGGACTCTCATTTAATTCTGCATGATATTTGGAACGCTGACACTCAGGCCATCTCCTCATCAGGATAGGAATTATGAAGATCCAGTCTACTCACTGGCTCTTCATTCCACCACGGTTATTGGCTGCGCTTTTAGTGGAGCCATTTGGGTTTAATGTTTCTTCCTTGGAAGTCTGTGGCCACATAGATTTTTTTGCATGGTGGTCTGTCCCTAACCTGGTGCTTCAGTTCTTCTAATAGTGCACCCAGTGGCACTGTAACTGAGTTTGTCCACCTTACTGCTGGTCTTCCTCTTCACTTTCCTTCCAGCATCACAACCTTCTCTGAGAGCTAGGTCTTTGTATAATATATCCAGAATATAATAATATGAGGTTGGCTATTTCTGCCCCACGTGAGAGTTGATTTGTTTGCTTGTTTTCTTAGCTTTCCATGGGATCCTCAGCTGTTTTGAAAGCATCAATACTCTTTCTAACTGGCATCCTTTCTATAAACATTTGCACCTTAACATCTCTCTACATTTTCCCATTTTTAATAAATATCCTACCAATCTGCAGAAATTCATTTAATTGTTCTAATTTTCCCCTCTTGTATAATTTGGAATTATTTACTCCATTTTCCTTGTTAAAACACAACTACCCTCCTTCCTTCCATGTTTATGTTCTCAAGTTCTGTTCAGATGCTACCATGAAATAGTCTGTTCCACATTCAGAGCTTCTCAGTATTTTTTTCAACTTTTAGGATAATAAAATAATTCATACTTTTGGATTTATTTTCTTTATTTTGATGTTTGTATGTATGAATGGTCTTCTGCATAAGCTACAGTATGTATTCCAACCGTAATGGATACATTATTCACCAAACAGTTAACTAGCGATACTTCCATTCATTCTTGGGTCCCTCCATATTTCCACTCTGATTTACCATTATTGCTATTCAATGGAATGCATTCTTACTTTCACAATCTAAATGACACTAATTCAAAATGTCTGAATCCCAATACCGAGAAGATAGATGCAATGGCCTAACATTTCTTTTGATGCCTTCAAGTCAGTGTTGACTCCTGGTGGCTGGCCTCTAGTTTTCTTGCCAGATTTCAGAACTGGTTTCTCATCGCCTGCTTCCTAGGACTAAGAGAGTAATTGGGCCATCATCACATAGCTGGTTTTGATCCTAAGGCAGGACTAGAAATCAGAGTTTCCTATTTTCTGTCCTCAACCAAATTGCCTCCCTCTGATATATTGAGGGTATCCACTCATAACAAACCAACCATTGCTTAGTTCAATGTGAGTCTAACATTAAGTTGTTTACCACAGACATATATTAATTTATATTTATGCAATTTTATAATAAGTGACATTTTAAAGAATGGTGTTGATAACATAACTCTGATGTGTTGACTCATTTTCTTGGCAAAATTATCCATTATCTTCTAAACTAGATGCTATTGTTTTATTCTTTATCTTTATTAATGGCTGTAAAAAAATAAGCTCTCTAGATAATTAAAAACCATTTGTCCTTTTGTCCTTGCTTCTTCAATAAGTTATCTTGGCTGCAATTATGATAGTTAATAATAATAGCTTGTCTTCTATCTGCTCCAGTAGTTTTGTAGCAATATAGCATGTTAACTCTGTACAGTACTTTTAATTTAATGCTTGGAGAAGTTGTCAGCTTGACAAGTGCAGAGTCCTCTGCTTGATGACTTGCACATCGTACTGTGAAGGTGAGGGCTGAGGGGGTAGGGATACTCCAAGAATCTCATTGACTTGAATGTGATGAAGAAGAATGCTAATTGTTATAGCACTATTAATATTTCTAAAGCCCATCTAGATTTGATCTGGTCAATCATAGCATACAAGACTGCATATGATTGCTAGAGAAGAGGCAAGACTGAAATGTCTAAAGATAATGGATAACATAATCTAACATCCCTAGGTCTGTCTGTAAAAGTATTGGCAAAATATGTATTGGAACATAAAGTGAGAACACAGAAATATTACCTGTATGAATTTTGAAGTGAAGACATCTGCTAAGGATTTAGCATCTGGTTGTAGCAGGGCAATGTCAAGCCCTTTTTAGACTTCTGCTTTGCTTCCTAGTTGCCAAATGTACATGCAAGTACAGTATACTATTTTCTCTAATGACACTTGATATGCAAGCAACTTTGAGGGGTGATAGTGCAGATTTTAGACATCCACATACTATTCAGAACAGTCGTTGGCAACACTTGCTAGTGAGTGGGAAAATAGGCTCTCATAAAAATTTATACAGTGTGATAAAATCCAAAGAAAGAGCCATATCCTGGGTTTATATTGGCTGATAGCAAAACTGCTTAATAAATTGCTAAAAATATCATTTATTTCCCCAGAGACACCTCAAATAATGCCATTTCCCATAAATTAGGAATTGTGCCTATGAGAATGCCCAAATGACTGTGACAAGCAGAGGGAGCCAAACTGCCATACATAAAGGAAGCAAACCATGAATTTGACCAATGATGGCAATATCCCCAAACAGAAGAATCTTTAAGACAGACAAAAGATCAAATATGCTCAGAGTGCTGTCCAATTAAGCAGAGATATATGTTGACAGATTAGAATTCATACAGGAGAGAGAGAAATTGTACTGCAGTAATCATTGCTAACTGAAAACATGTAAGCATATGGCAATACCTGGAAATGAATGGAACTGATTTTGCAGATTGTCCAAACACTTGTGCAAATCAAGAGGATCCAACACATCTGGATGTGTCCAGGTTGAGAAAGATTACTTGGGGAAAACCTAATGAATCAATGCAATTCTTTACTCAGCAAAACAATCAAGAATTTCTTGGAGGAACCAAGCTTGGGAGAATTTGACTCCCAATCAATGTTAATAAAGTCCACTGTTTGTCTCTTTGAAAGATTTATATGCTTTAAAAATAACTGGCATTTCTTTGGCTGAGTAAGTAGATATCAACAGTAATGTAGCTTCATTCACTCTTCCACTTACTCTAATTTAAATGTTCTCAATTTTATTGTTCTGTTCATTTCACTTTTCTGAGTAGATGTGATAAGATATTGCGAAAATTGTTCTCATATTGCATTCAGTTCTTTTGAAAAAATATGTTCTAGTTGCTCTTCTACTTCTGGCAATCATCTCATTTGTTATATCTTTAAAATCGCATTTGCCTTTTGTTAAGAATATTTTTCATATTCTGTGTATTGGTGTATAGAAGTGAAAACCATGTTGTCGGATTTTATATTGAGTAGTTTAATATGCCCTATAACAGCTACATTCCTGCTGCCTTATTACAACACACCAATCTTTTCACTATTGTCCCTGCCCTTAATTTTATTTTATGAATCCAGTGATTGGAATCATGCAGCACACTAAATCAAATGTAGAAAAGCCAATTATGTTAAATTTAAAGCCAGTCACTTGTTGTGTGATTGCTATTTCAAATCAGTCTATTAGTCTTCACTATACCTAGTTTTGTGTGATAATAATTAACTACTTTTCCAGAAGAAGATAATGTAGATATCCCTGAAATAACTAGGAATGAATCCTTGGTACTTCTACTAAACAGAGTTCAGCTTGAACACAAGGATTTTTGTACCTCTCACATACCAAAGTTTCCATGTACTCTAGTATATTTCTTAACAATAGTTCAGTTATTTTCTTTAA